CGGCATCGCGCGCGGCATCGCGCGCATCGGCGACGGGCGCGACGGCGCGCGATGTCCGTCCCGGGCGCGGTGTTCGCGCGCGCGCCGCCGACGCGCGCGCGCGAGGACGGCGCGCGCGGTGCGGAGGCGACGACGGATTCGCTCGCGTCCTTGCTCGACGCCTGCGAACGGCGCGCGTGGACGTCCATCGTGGCGCGAACGGCGAGTTCGGGGGGGGGTGGGGGCGTCGACGCGCGCGCGGTGGTGACGCTCCGCGCGTTGGCGCTCGCGAGGCTCGGTCGAGGGCGGGAGGCGGGGGAGGCGTTGGCGACGGGGACGGAGGCGGGCGACGCGCGGTCGTTCGCGGAGATGGCGCTCGAGGTGGATTGCGCGCACGCGAGTGGTGATGGGGAGGGGGGAATGGATGCCATGTGTGCGCTGCACGCGCTGTGCGCGAAGAGAGAGGGAGAGGCGAACGGAGAGGCGGCGCGGGAGACGTGGAGACGAAGACGAAGAACCGTCGCGCGCGCGACGGCGAGTCGGTACATGATGGCGGATGATCCGCGCGCGGCGTTGGTTTGGATCGATATCATGTCGAGGGATGAACCGGATGAGCCGGAACACCTCTCCTCGGCCGGTCGCGCGCACTTGATGATGGGCGATCTGGAGGGGGCGAGGCTGTGCTTCAACGAGGCGGAGCGGCTCGTCAACGCGCTCGGCGAGGGCGCGTCCGCGGAGCAGCGCGCGCGCGTTTTATGCAATCGAGGTGATTACTTCTTAGTTGGTGCGAAGTATCCCGAGGCGAGGGCGGCGTACGGTGCGGCGCTGTTGAAGGACGAAGGCGACGTTGCAGCGAAAGTGAACGCCGCCGTGGCCTCCGTGTACATGGGAGATTTGGATTCATCTCGCACGCTCCTAGAGGACGGGCTCGTCGCGGCCGCGAACGCGCCCGATGGTTCTAAAGCGCGTGATTTCATCACGCCGAGCGCGGTGAAGAATCTTCAGAGCATCTACGAGCTCACGGCCAGGGCGCCAGCCGAAGCGAAGCACGGCATGAACGCCTTCATCAAGGTCGTCGCGCCTGAAGACTTCGACGTCACGTGCTTGACTTCTTGAATGAGCGCGAGCATTTCAGGATGATGTCTCAACTATCGTACCGTGTATCAACCCGCGCGAACGAGATGTGCGATGCGGTAATGTAAAAGAATTGCGTTACAGAATCAAGCCTTCTCACACACCCAATGCCTTTGCGAGTGCGAATGAAACGAGATACGCGGACAACGCGGCGAGAGATCCGTTGATGAGCATATACAATGCGCTCATACCCACTTGCTGGTTCGTAAACTTCGCCTTTGCCGCGCCCAGAGCCGCCATCGTGAATGCGGTCAAGGCACACGCGCTGCCAAACATCGCGTTTGCACTCGCCCCACCGATCGCTCGACCGAACACGTACGGGATCAGAGGGATGAAACCGAACAGGCCGAACGCACAAAACGTCACCAACCCGTTCTTTGCCGGCGAATCGGTCTCGTCCGGAGGCATCAACCCAAGCTCCTCCACCATCATCAAGTCTAGGAAGAAATTTTTATACTTTGCAAGCGTGTTGATCACCGACGTCGCGTCCTCCTCCGTCATCCCGCGAGCCATGTAAAGCTCAATCATCTCTCGCTTTTCTCCCTCTGGATAGTTCTCCAATTCCCACTTCTCCCGTTTCTTCTCTGTCCGCGCGTACTCGAGCTCAGCCTTACTGCTCAGGTAATCGCCGAAACCCATCGATAAACCGTCGGCGACCAAGTTGGCGAATCCCATGAGCAACACCACGTTCGCGTCCAAACCACCACCCTTACTCGCGGCGACGACGGCAAAGGTGGTGATCGTGCCGTCTAAACCGCCGAAGACGAGTGACTTTACGTACCGACCCGCCTCGCCTGCGTGTCCCGCTTCGCCATTCGCGTCGTGCGCCGCTCTGGACGCGTCGGCATCGGCGTTCTCAAACGCATCCTTCGCGGCTGCGATGTCACGCGTCGCCATGTCACGCGGATGACGGACGACCGTCGAGCGACGGTGTGTGAGGAGCGATTAGCGCGATGGGCACCGAAGCTGCCTCGGACCGGGGCTGAGCCGCCTCGTCAAACAGCTGGCCCAGATTCTCAGGTGTCGACGCGGACGAGACGTCAGGCTCGTCGTGTAAATCACCAGCGATGACAAACCGTCCCCACGCTCGATGATCGACCTGATTGAACGAATCAGTGAGTTCGATTGCTCTAGACGCGTCGATGGAGCGTTCGTCCACAGAGGCGGTGGACTCAAACTCCGGCGTCAAGCGCCCTCGCGCTCGCGCGAACGCATCGATCGCCTCGTCGAGCGATGCTTCACTCATCTCACTCACCGACTGTAAACACACGCTGCTGCGTCGGGCGCGTGATCTGGCCGCGCGGTTTCTCGCCTGCAGTCGGGCTTCCGATTTCACTCGCGACTTTGCGTTCGGCGCCCCGTCGTCGGTCTCGCGTGATTCCAGCTCTACGGGCGCGATCCAAACCTCGTCCGCGATCGATGACGCGTGCACGCACGAGAACCATCGCCGTATCCAAGCAAACTTCGGCGCGTTCGGCTTCGCGCGTCGTTCTCTTCGCTCTCGTTTTCTCGGCTCCGCGCTTCGCGCCGACTCCGAGGTAGACGCCGAGACCGCGCGCGCGGACTCCAAACCGCGTCCCGTGAACGACAGCGCGTCGGATAAGTTTCGTCTTCTACGAGAACCATCCCCAGAGGCGCGCGTGGACGGCGCTTTCGCGACTTTCCGTTCCTTGGGCTTGACGTCGACGCGACTGGACGCCTTCCAACCGCCTCGCGCGCCGCCGGTGAGACCGATCGGTCGACTCGTCGTTCCCTGGAGCCAATCGGTGAAAGAAAGTTCGTCAATATCGTCACCACAACGCACGTCGAGAGACATGCGCGTTCGTGGTCGTTGAGCGGAGCGTGTGGACGTTTGAAGCGTCGCGGGGGAAGAGCGTCGCCCGCGAGTGTTCAAACTGAAATATTTGAACGCAACGCGAGCCACAGAGACTGACGCCCACGCGCGAGTGCGAATCGAAGTGGATAAACATGAACGATAAAACGCCATCGAGCGGGACCCAGACGCTTTTTTACTCTCCGTGCGGGGACGATCTGGCGAGCTCGCTCTCGGTTGGTTTCGCCAAAACTCTCGGAACCGCGGGGACGACGGATAGCGCGACGACGACGGCGCCTCGAGGGCTGGCGATGCGATCCATCGGTCGAATCTTGCGTCAAGGCGTGAGTGCATTCAGACCGTTCGCTCGCGTAACGCCAAAAGTAGCCGGGAGCGAGAAGGGCGGAAGGTTCGCCGCGGCGGCGGTTTCGAAACCAAAGTTGTCGGTTCAAACGCGGTCGACGAGCGCGCACAACTTTCTTGGCGTCTTCGAGAGTCCGCATCGGGACGAGAACGCTCACGGTCCGAGAGCGGGCCCATCGACCGCGGACGAGCGTGAGATCGAGGCGAACGCGTTCGTTGAGGTGAACTTGGACGAGAACGCTCGACGCGTGGCCACCAGACAAATCAAAACGCCACTGAATAATGTTACCAAGGGTCGCGTGAGCAAGACTCGTCGCGCGGTGAACGATACTTCGAAGCGACGTAAACGATCAGTTCCTCTGCGTGAGGGAGAGACGCGCACGTGCGCGAAGTGTGGCGTGCGCGGAGGCTCAAAAATTCATTGGAGGCACTCGTATGACGAAAACTCCGATTTCGCTCTCGGAGCCGACCTGTGCGATAAATGTGGAAAGCAGCAGTCGAGAATGTTACAGGCCCGAAAAAAGCAAGGCACCTCGAATATGCGATGAGTAAACTATGGATCGAAATGTGCTATGGATCGGAAGTGAGTATTGATGTGCTGCTAAGGGCTGTACCGTTAGAAATGTTTGTGATGCTATGATCATATCGGCGCGCCGAAGTTGACACCGACCGGATTCTTCCACGTGGACGACGACGAATCACTCATCATTGCAGCTGACTCGTCGCTGTTCACGGTATTAACGGGCGGGAACAGATCGTGAACGAGTTCGTTCACCTCCGATACCGTGTACTGCTTCACTCGCTTGGTCGTCTCGCGCACCACCTCCCCTTTCGGATTAATGGTGAAGACGCGATCCTCTGGAATGCCCGCGGCGAGGTACGACTCGACATCTGTGTCCCGGTTCCCGAATCCAGCGTGGAACGGATTCCAACCGGGCGGGAACAGGTTGCGAATGTCTTGCAGACAGCGAATCTTAAATCGCTGTGGATTTCTCGTCACCACCTCTCTGAATAAAGCCTTCGAGAGAGGATCCGGAGCACACATCACGGGACCTTGCGCCAAGATCTTATCGCCCTGTCTCAGGGAAGAAAGATACTTACGCGTGCCCGAGGCGTGGGAAATCGCGCGTGACGTTAAAAACATCAACTTGTACCCATTATCGGTGATGTCGTTGTACAGACTCGCCACGCCCGCGTGGCTCCAATCCTTGCCCACCATCGGCGCGAGCTGACCGAGGACATCGCTCCTCGTGACGGTTCCATCGACGTCGCTCACGATGAGCTTGGTGTTCCAGTCCCACAGGTAGACGAACGCTGACACTTCCTGGAGGCCCCACACGCGCGAGTTGAAAGCGAATGAAATCGTGTTCATTCCAGGCTTCAAATCCAGCGACATTACCTCTTCTTGCGTCAACTGAACCCGTCGCACGCGATGCGAACCGCGCCGGGGCGACAGCTCCGAGTACACAGGCATCAACCCGCCCTGATTCGGCGTCATTGGTGCGCTCGTCGAAGTTGTCGGCATTGTCCAATTCGAAGGCAAAGGCGTCCCGAATGCCAGGTGTGACAACACGTGCGGTGCAGCTGCGCTCCACGGCAACGCCTTCGCCGGTGCATCCCTCGCCGCGCGTTTCGGCCGCACCACCAGTCCCGAGTGTCGAATCAACGCCGGGTCGCCCTTAAACTTTTCAAGCGTCACTATGTGCTTGTCGAAATCCTCGACCTTCCCGCCGCACAGACTAAGCTCGACCGACGGTAAGACGGTCATCCCGACGCTCTGAATCGCCCCCATCGCTCTTGTCATCTCATCATCCGTCGCCCGCTTCCCCACATCATGCTCTCCAGCATCACGCTGACTCGTCGTCGCCGTCGCCGCCGCTCGTTTGGTCGGCGTCTCATCCAGACGTAATACGCTCAGCGCCTCCGCCGCTCCCACGTCGTTCGCGTCCATCTCCCTCGCGAATCCACTCTCGATCTCCGTCTCTTCTTCCTCCTCGTCGAAATCATCCGTTCCGTCCGCGAAGTACGCCTCACCGTTCGAACCGAGACGCATCGTCAGGTCCCGAAGCGTCCCGTTCACCGTCACCGTGACGACCTTCGCGTCGCGTCCTCGTAAGAAGCTCTGCGCGTTACCGAACCGGACGTAGAACGGACTCGCCCGTAATGCACCGTCGGGTTGTTTGATCACGATCGTGTCTGCGCGAGCGATGTGGGAAAGAATTCATCAGTCCGCGGGTGGTTGAACAAGGCGCGCGGAGATCTCTCGCGTTCGGAACGGTTGGCGTACCGATGGCGCCGCTCGCGCTGGGAGTGATCATGGACACCGCGGCGACGGAACCGCCGACGGTACCCACGGCGACGGATCCGGCGACGTCGCGGAGGCGGCGTAAGCCGCGAACGAGGTTGGCGTTGTCCATCGCGCGAGGCGAGGACTGCGGATGGTAAAGGTGAAGTTGGATTTCAAGGTGTTTCGTATCGAGTCGTGAGCTTGGTTTGCGACCTGTGATCACGCCGCGGACGATTTGATGACTTGATCTCGCGATCGGTGATGCTCGCGGAGTCGTTGGGACATCTCGTCAGGTCGCAGCGGGAAATCCGAGATTTGCTCGCACGACTCGATCAACATTTGCGGGCGCTGCTTTGTGTGGAAGACGAAGAGATTTCCGGTGACGAAGCAGTAGTTTCGTCGATGGTTCGCGTACCGAGAGTGGAGCAAGGTTTGAACTCTGCCGCTCTCAGTGGAATTCGCGTCGTCCATCCACAGGTTGAACGGAAAACGCTTGGAGCCGCCGAAGATGACCATGCCTTGGCCAGAGCTGTATCGAACGAGTTGCATCACGCCGTCGAAGAGATTGGCCATTGTCGGCTGTAAATCGAGCAGAATCGTGCGGCGCTCGCGCGCGTGCGCGGCAGCGACAATCTTCTTGTAATCACAAAAGTCTCTCGGATCCAAAATGTGGTCGACGATGCCCAGATGTTTCCAGTGTCTCCAATCCTCCACGAACAGCTCGCGCATCTTCCACCACGTGATCAGACGCCGATAGTCTCTCGTGTACTCGAGCATTCCGAAGCTCCACAGGGACGCTCGTGCCGGATCCCAGATCCCTCGCAAGTTCTCCTGAGCCAGCTTCTCGGCGAGCTGAAATTCGCCGTGGTAGAGACGAGAGCGTCCGTACTTGGTGAAGTACGCCGACTGACCGGCGAGCGTGACATCGACGTTTACGTTCACGCCGTTCTGGTAGACGTACGCCAAAACGCGACCGTACTTGTCCATCGACGTCTCGCGAGCGCGCGAGATGGATGTCATGTACTCTAAACTGTCGAATTCAAGGTCCACGACGACGTTGGCGCATCGTCCATCGCTTCCCGCGCCCAGCCGCTTCTTCAAGTACTCAAACGCTTCTTCGCCGGCGGGCGTGACGGGCTTGTACGCGACGTCCTCCTTCTTCGGATCGTTCCACTCCTCGGTATCGACGTAGATCAGTCGCACATCAACACGTTCCCACGTTGAAGGGTCGTCTTGCGTCGTCTCGAGCTGGTCGGGGTTCAGCGCGCGCGGGACGGGCTCGCTGCCGACGACGAGAGAGCTCTCCCACCCATTCCCACTCGCAGAGCGCTGTTGACCAGTGTCTGGATTGAGAAGAACGCGAAGCGTCTTGCCGTCGATGACGTGCGTGACGATGCACTCGCGAATGAAAGTACCGTGAAGGGTGTGCATGGTAAACGAGTGAACGAGTCGATGTGTGGGGACGCGTTCGCGTGGGACCGTCGCGCGCGCCAAATTTCCTAGAATAACAACGTTCCCAACGCCACGGCGGTGAAGACGACGGTGAAGTTGTCGTCCAAGACGGATGAGACCGGGAGCGATTCCACCAACGCGCACGCGCACGAGATCGCGAACGTCGCCGCGTACGTCGATCCAGTGGTTTCAATGAATCCAAAGTGTTGGAAATACGCGAGCAATCCGCTCGCGATTCCGAACCCGCCCGCGACGAACCCAGCGCTCCCGGCGAAGCTCTTATCCCCGTTCCAAGGGAGCGCGTTACCCTCACCGAATCTCCTCCCGACGATGTCCGCGAACCCGTCGCCCCCGCACATCATCGCGATCGCCACGATTCCAATCGGACTCGTCCGCCAGTACCCGCTCGTCAGCGCGCTCAGCGCCGCGGTGTAATACAGCGGTCCCTTCAACAACTCCTCCTTCCCACCCGCTCGACTCACCGCCCGCACCGCGCTCTCGTTTTTTATAATCCCACTCCCTATACCGAACAACCGCGCGCCCTGAATCACCGGAATCGCGCACGCGAACGCCTTCGCGCTCGCCGCCGCGCTGAAGAGCGGCCACGCGCACGCGAACCCCACGCCGCTCGTCACGTGCACGAGCTTCCTCGACGTCGTCGACGCGAACGTTCCGGCGTCCGCGGCGACGTCGAACGCCTTCACCCACGCGTACGCGGCGACGCACGTGAAGGCGCACGCCAGCGCGTCGCGCGACGTATCATCCGCCGCGATGGCCACGAGCGCATCCGCGACCGCCCACGCGCGCGCGACGCCCCGATCGCGCCCACGACCGCGTCGATCGATCGATTGATTTTTCTCCCATCGACCGCGCGCGTTCGAACGACGCCGAGCGATCGATCGCGTCGGCGCGACCGCGCGCGCGCGTCCGCGCGTCAACGGCATCCGTCGCCGTCTGACGATTCGTCTTCACACGCCGCCCCGTGCGTTCGCCCGCGTCCGCGCGCGCGCGCGCGATCGAGGGAGAATATAATGTCCGTCCGCGTCGCCCGCGTCCGTCGACCGCGCGCGCGGCGCGTCGCGCGCGCGAGACCGCGATCGTTGCCGCCGCCGGTGAACCCGCGCTGACCTCGTCGCGTCGAACGCGCGCAGGTTGAAACGACGGGACTGGAACTACGTCCACGCGAGGGACGGAGAGTCGTCCGAGAGCGAGTCGTCCTCCATCGAGTCCGCGGGACCGGCGGTGGAGAGCTCGAGCGAGGGAACGGAGGATGATGATGATGAGGCGCGCGGGGCGGAGAGCTCGAGCGAGGCGGGCGACGCGCGGAGAACGGCGACGCGGGCGCGGTACGACGGCGCGCGAACGGCGATCGAGCGAGCGATGACGAGCGATGGAGACGGTGAAGAAAATGGGGGGATCGCGGCGAGGTGCCGGGCGTGCGCGGGGACGCTGTTGCTCAGCGGAACGACGCTTCGAGCGCACGCGAAGAGTAAAAAGCACTTGAAAAATTTGGCGAAATTGGGCAAGGCGAACGACGAGAATTTCGTGTGCTTTTATCCCGCGGTGAGAGAAGACGATGGGTACGTGAGCGACGGGGAGGCGGAGACGCACGCGGAGCGCTTGGCGCGTTTACGGGCGCAAAAGATTTTACGCGACGCGGGGGACGGCGGGGACGCCGGTGGAAAATTTTCACTCGCGCAATTCGACTCGTCCGACGACGACGACGACGACGACGACGGCGACGACGGCGACGACGAGAGAGTGACGAAGCGTCTCGCGAGGAAGGAATTCGCGCGAAAGGCGAGGGATATGGTGGCGGACAAAAAGGGCGAGGACGCCAAGCGTTCGCGACGTCACGCGCAACGAAAGAGAAAGGGAAAATCCAAACCCGGGAAACGGCAACGAATGGCGATGAAGACCGAGGGAGCGTAGTTCTATCGCTTGCTTGCTTGCGGTGCGTGGTGTATTACAATAATGATCTTGATGGAGTATTGCGCGTAATAGAGATGACGATGGAGTATTGCGCGTAATAGAGATGACGATGGAGTATTGATCGTTTCGCGCCTTGGTATCAATACAGGTGATCTTGTAGTTGTTGAACAGTTTTCAAACGTGTACAACGCCGGCGTCGCCGAGCTCTCACTCGGCCGCGCCGGCTTTAACATCCAGCTTTAAAGCGTTCTCGGTGACTCGTTCATCGCGCGGAGACTCTTCTGAGGGCTTTTCGTTTGTCGTCTCGGCGCCGCCGTCGGACTCTGAGTCCTTTTCGGGGGAGTTCTTTTCTCCCTCCACCGAAGCCGAAGGCACGCCTTCGGTGGTCTTCTCGCTGTCATTCGTATCGTTGTTCGTGTCGATTTCGCTCGCGCTCGTTTCCTGACGTCTCCACAACTGCGCCGGTCGAGGCGCGTCGTTCTTCGCGAGATACAGCCCGCACGCGTTGCACAGCGACCCGCCGCCACCCTTATCTTTCCTCCAGAACGGCGTCTCGGTGGACTTGCAGTTCACACACACCTTGGGAACTTTAGATTTCATCGGTTTCGCTCGCCGAACCTTGCCGAGTTTCTCCCCCCCTCGCCCGCGCGCCCCGTTCCCTCTCGCCGCGCTCGTCGCCTCGTACGCGGCGACTCCGTACGGGTACCCCCCTCCAAACCCCACCCCTCCAAACCCCGGGACACCAAACCCCACCACGTGTTGCGTCTGCGCCCGCGCGTACGCCGCGTACGCCGCGTACTGCGCCATGATCTGCGGTCCGTACGCCGCGAACGCCGCCGCGGCGCGCCGCGCCGCGTCCCCCCCCCCCTCGCCGACGTCACGC